AAAAAAAAAAAAAAAAAAAAAAAGAAGGGAAAGCAAACAGAAGGCGAAACGAAAAGTCGAGTTATTCGAACGTCGTTGCGGAAATTCCCGGCCGCTCGCACCGCACTTGCAATACTTTTTCTTTCTCTGTTGCAGATATTAGATCGTCCTCGAGAAATCTCGTGTCGACGAGGAATCAACAGAGCATCACGAAAATGCTGCTTCTCATCAGCACCGTTTTCATTCTTCTCAATTTGCCGAGGTAAACGGTCATCTATCGATATATTCGATACGTTGATTTAACATCTTTGATATCTTTGATATCTCGGTGAGAGCGATAACGTCTTCTACGGAACCATCGATGACCCACGATGAACGTTTTTTTTGCGATAAATACAAATTCGTTTTGCTTTTGCTCGCGTTGCACATTCGCACATTCGCACATTCGCACATTCGCACGTTCCTATACGCGCTATCGTTCCGACAAGCTGGCAACTTCGATTTACCAGCAAGCGAACTCTCGTTTTCCAGCTACGTGATCCGACTGTGCGTATTCTTCTTCACGCTGGCCCGCAAGAACACGCCCGACCTGCTCTGGTGTTTGCAGCAGTTCTTCATGCTCCTCTATTACACCAACTTCAGCATCAATTTCTTATTGTACGCAATGTGCGGCATCACGTTTAGGCGTTGTCTGCAACAGTTGCTGCGCAAGATACTGAAAACCATGACCAGGTACCATTGCAACCTACGACGATAACGTATAGGAGCGACGGAAACGCTTTTCGAGCAAATTCAAGTATACAACCACGGCGATCCCAATTGCGTCGCGCGACGCGCACCACCATTATGTTCGCCCGTTTCTCACCCTCGTTGTTACGTCGTCGTCGTCGTCGTCGTCTTCGTAGCGCCGTTCGATTCGACCATCCGTTTACTTCGACGAGCAAAACGACGCGTGTAACGCGATCAAATATCCATGTTGAACCGCTTTGTTCCGCTGTCGGAGGTACAGAGCGTGAAAAGTCTGAGAAACTTTTGCGACTACGTTGCTCGATCGTGTAAGCGAGAAATAAAAATAGAAAATATTTACGAGTTTACGACGATTACCGGTTAATCGACGGTTATGGACTGACAGACACGCGTTTTCATCTTTGCAAGATCTTTTGAAATTTCGAGTAAATGGTCGATCCTCGACGAAGGAGATTATGCGCGATTATGTGCGATTATATGCGATTATATGCGATTACCGGTGATTTAAATAAGTCAAAGACCTGCATATCCTACTCTATCCTATTCGAAACAGGATAAAAGGATATTTATATGAAAAGCAAAAGGATAAACTTGTAACTTTCAACGACCTCGACACCTCGGTTTGATACACGCGTATCTAGCATAGCATCCATCTTGGAACGTTGCATGGAAAAGTTCGCAGACTCGCTGTAAAATTCGTTATTTCTATGTGGCATTTATTTGTATCGTGGAAACTACGTATCGATGATAGAAATTAGACAAATTATACGAAACTACACGTGTATCGTTACGCTTTGTCAGTGCTCCGACGTTCGATCAAATTTCCCATTTGGAACGTTCGACCGAATTACCTATACGTAAGTAAACGATAAATGTCTCAACGTCTTCTAAACGTGTCTTTGTTTAAATTATAAATTATTTGTCTCGCACCGCTCAACAACATCGTAAAATACCAACGAAACTTGAAAACTGTCGAGCGTTTAAAATTCAATGGCTACCTAATTACCTAATTACCTAATTACTTAATTGTCTAATTACCTAATTACCGATAGAGTAAAACTCGGCGTAATCGATACGCGAACGAGACGAGTTGGCTTACTGAACGAAAAGATTGCTCTGATATAATCGATCGTTCGGTAGGTAATTGGAACGAAACAGCTTCGTAAACATTATTATTACGAACAACGTCGATGTCTATCTCGAGGCAATTCTTGCACCCGCCGTATCGCGTAGAGTCGTTGACAAAACTAGCAAATCCGCGTTTCCGCTTTACATCGTATCGTATTATCGGATTTCTTCGATACTCGCGTATTGTAAACGTAAAGAAAGTTGACGCGAGTGCGATCGAATCGACGTAAATCGAATTTTTCAACTTTTATTCCATATCCATAGATATTTCGTGCGTACAGAATGTCTGAAAGATACGAGACAAATTCGCTTATACGAAATTCCCTACGATAAAGAAAACGTAAAACCGATATGTTTGTATTATCTTTGAAACAGCATTTTTTTAGCGAATTATGTGAATTATATACGTATACATAGCGAAATACCTAGGTAATTGTTTTATTTTTTATATCGAGTTGTAGAAATCGTTTTCGCGTTGTTCGAAGGCTGGATTTCGAAGGAACGGCATATTTACCGATAATTAGCGTAACTGTAAATATCTCGACTAACGACTAACCGTATAATTTAGATATAAGGTAAATATTTTTAAATATACCCAAGACACTGAAAAAATTGAAACTGATCTACTTTAATTACCTCGTCCCATGAGATCGGCGTACAAATACGTAAAAAACGAAATTCCATATAGTTTTCTCGTTGTTTACGGAAAGTGGCCAAGTTGCCAGATAGTTACCTCCTAACCGATCTCGTTTTGCGCAACTCTTCCCTGACATACGTACAACGTACCTCGACGTATCGCCTCTTCTTCCCGAGTTTCAACAGCGTTCGTTTTAATACGTTAAATACGGTGGCCGTGGTGGTGATCCAATAGCGTAACACGGTGGTACGAGAATAACAACGATTTTAGTCGATTGGATTGGAAACGAGAAGAAATCGTTGGCCTCGTGCCGACAACATATTTCGAGGACATGGAAATCGGACAAACACAGGTAACTGTTCGGCAACTTTGGCCACAGAATTCCATAGAATCGGCAAGATTCTTCGGAGATTCGAGAGTGAAATTTGTCGAGAATTTTATCGAATGTTGTTTGAACAAACCGTTTGGTAGTGAAAATTCCTACAAAATTTTCTTCAACGTGATTAATTACGATTCTTCTATTTTCAGATAAATCGAATAATTAATCGAAATTGATCGATACAATTATAATAACAATTATTTTCAATCGATATTTACGCGATGTAATGGAAAATATCGTTCCATATAAAATAACATTTCAACGGAGCGTAAAGATAAGGATAAAGATAAGGGAGAAAAATTGTTACAAGTTCAACGCGATAACGATATTACAAGTAAGTCGAACGATCTCGTTAGTAAGCATAAACCTGGTATACGCATCCTCGTTTTCAATCATCTTCGATAATTCTACCAAAAAGATTCCATCTATCTTTCCTTTAGCATCGCGCACCATATTTATCAAACTTTCTCTTTCCCCCTGCGCCTTACGTCTTACTAAGAACGTCCTTACGCCTTATAAGCAAGTCTACCCATCCGAAAGATCGACGTGTCTAAAAATTCTTACGGTGAAGGAATAACGAAACGGGTTAGATCAACGGCTACCGATTTTCCCGGCCACGTTGGCAAACCGATGGCGAAAGTTCGTCGAATACGTGACAGTGCAGTCGAGTGGATCGCGCGAGAAAATCCCAACTAATCTTTGGACTTTGAGAGAAATCCGCGGTGGGATCAAAGTTGTATTATACGTAGCCTGTTGGAGAGGGCGAGTCTCGCGTAATCGATAGCACGGTATAATATCGCTAGATACGACTTACCGAAAACCGAAACGTGTCCCGATATACGTGTGCGTCGTGATAATTCAGACAAAAATTCATATTACATCGTTCTTTGCTTCGAACGCTAATTCAACCAACTGTTTTGCTCGTTTCGGCGATATTTCAACCTGTCTTTGTTACATTTACGACGAACCGAAAGAAATACGTGTTCCCGATACAGTCGCTTTACTCTGACTTTCTGACTTTCTGACTTTCTGATTTTTCAAAAGGAAAAGGCAAACTTTTTGCAACAACGCTCTTCGATGTTACATCTTGATACAGCGATGCGTGTCATACTATCGGAGATTCTTTACGTAACTCAGGATCCATCCCTCGGTCGAGGCGGCCGCTAGCTGTGCAAATATAGTTAATCGGGCCGCGATAATCCTAAACGACTGTCATAAATTTGTATTTTACCGTTAGGACCATTAATTCTTATAAAACGTATTCGATTCGAGACGTTCCTTACGGTCGTTGTTGCTCCGTCGGGTTTTTCCTACGTTCAACGATCGTTTCCAGCCGCAAGCGATCGGTGGTGGGGCGACCAACAACCAGCGATAGTTTTCCTCTGTGATAGCATGGTCACCGAACTTTGCTGGTTTTCCGCACTTAGATCGGTCATCTATTTAACTTATATCTATACGCACCGAGCGTAACTGTCTACGTCCACGAGTTGTCGGAATAATCGGTTCAACCAGCTCTATTATCCTAAACGAAATAGGGGAACGATCGTTTCGTGGCGTCGATTATCTAATCGTAACGGGAATTTACGACTCTCGTTGGTGCGCTTCCTCGCGATCGTGTCTCTCCGCGAACGCTCCAACAACCTTATACATGCAATAATTTCAATTTAATTTTTTACAATATTTACTCCTCCATCGTACCGGATGTTAGACAAATCATGATGCAAACGTAGAATCACCAGCTGCCGTAATCAGCTTGATCACCGCCCGTTATAATCTTTTCGATAAATGCATTTTCATCGTTTCGACGAACACCGGTCACGTTCGCTAATCGACGACACCGGTTCCATCGATCGTGCAAATTAACTTTCCAAACAACCAAACTACCGCTTCGACAACGGCCCTTTATTCGCGCAACTGTGCATCATCTGTGCGCGATCGAATCTACTGTAATTTGTTCAGTGCCAAGTCACTTGGGGCGAAAGTTTCCCGATCACCGCCCGACATCGCTGTACCGTTGCTGAAAATTGGACGTCCGACGAACAAGACGTCAACGAAACGTGCCAGTTCGTCTAAAACTGACGAGTTTGGAAAAATATCCTTCGTAAGTTCGTAACACGTTCGTCTTTCTACGATATAAAGGATAGAAAGAAACGAGCAAATACAGAGACAAATTCTTTTAATCTTCAACCAACGAAATTTAATCTTTGTATCCTAACAGATCGCGTTGTAGCGGTTGCGGTTGCGCGTTATGATCGTTTCTTCGATTATTTTTCAAACACAACCCTCCTTTGGTACGCATATGTCGACGTTGATACAAAAATACCAAAGATACCGAGGACAACTTGGATTTACCGAGATCACTTTCAAACGTTTAACGGATTAATATCGTACATGGCGTACTTCGTGTCGATATATCGTATTTATTTAATCGAAGAACGTGGATGTAAAAAGAGCAGTCGAATCTAACGAAAAGTATCCTTGTAAATAGGAATATTGGATTACGGAGTTCGTATCTATAGAAGAATACCAACATCTTTGTAACGTAGTTACGAAAGAGAGGAGAAAAGTTCTTACGAGTTTAGATAAACACTTACCCTTGTCTTGCCCGACCCGGTTGGACCAACCAGCATTAATCCGTGCCGCACCACAGTCGTCTCGTACAATTGGATAACTTTCTTCACGAACTCTGCAATCAAAAACGTCGATCATTTCGATCATCGCCTTATAGCACGTTCGGACACGGAGTTCCATCTAAGCCGGATCTTCTATCGAAAGATTCGGCTATTATGGGAAAACGCGTGGTCCAACTTTTAATTTCCATTTCGATTAACTTCCAGTTATTTGGATGACTGAATTATTTAGCAAAAGTTCTCAACTGTCAAAGAGTCGCTTGCGAGACAACGTCGATGCGAAGCAGCTTTTTCACCAAGAACATCTCGAAAAAGAATGTTACAAAGAATGTATAGAATTCGAAATAACGTAATAACGTAATAACGTAATAACGATTAATAGAGTTTGGTGAAACGAGAAATAACATTTTTGATCATTTCGAACGCTGAAATAAACTGCAACGATCCGAACACTAACGAAACGAAACATGTACATATTTAGCATACCGTTGACTTCTTCCAGATCCATCCTCGCAATCGCTGCACGAATTTGCGTTTCCAATACTCCGTGGTCTACGTGTTTCTCCTCCAAACGTGGAAATAAATCAGACACGATACCTAATTAAACGAAGGAGATAAGGAAAAAATTGTGATATTACAGCGTCGGAGATTTTCGAGAACTTGCGAAAGGAAAAGAAATTATAGCAAATTACCGTTGAACAGCGTCAAATCATCCTTTAAGAACTTGGGAACGTTCACATCTCGCAAAGCACGTAAACAGATCTGCTGTTCGTTTAAATCTTTCTGTTCCCTCTTTAAATTTCCTGCCACGGCGATCACCGTCTTCACTGCTCGCATTCCGAAATCATAATGATCCTTGGTAAAAATATTTATTTCTCAGCGAAAATGTTTAACTTGCCAACTGTACGTAGAACAAAAAGATACCGCCATTCTATCCACCAAATCGAGCAAACACAATTTCCAACTACTAACGCGATAGTAAAATAAATTGAGAAAGTGCCGTGAACTTGAATACCTCGTCCTTTAACCGACTTAAAATATCGATATTTTGAGTTAAAATATCGATCGGCGATCGAAAAACGAATCGTTTAATAATTAAATACGCGTTAAACATCTTGAGAATAACGTACCTGTGTGCTCAATTGTTCCGAGCTCAATTTAAACGTAGTCGTTATTTTGCCCGCCAAAACTTTCGCCTCGGAAAAACCGTACGAAAATAATGAAATTTCAGCGATCAGCGAATAGTCCGGTACCATCATAGCCACAGGACGGAACAAGGCTTTCAAGTTGTCCGGTAATTCCGTCCTACCCGCGTAACCAGGATTCATAGTGATGAATACCGCGCACGATGTCTTCAGTACGATTTCATCCCCTTCGAAGATGAATCTGAAAAACATCGCGAACAATTAGCGTCTTCTCCGCGTCGTATAACGTGCAACGTTCGTCGAAATGAAAGCCATACTCCTCGTTATTATCGTATTATCCATTTAAAACTATATTAAGGAAAATTCGTGTCGGTTGTAGCTGATATCATAGACACTCACGTGTCCATTCGCATTTGTTGCGCTTGCTGGATCGTCATGATCTGCTGGGCAATCACGGACAGCACCTCGATATCTATTCTGTTGAATTCATCGAAACATGCCCATGCACCTGCACTGCGGTGGTTATATTCGAGATAAAACGTATAAATGGCAGATAAATAAAGATCGTTGTCGAGATAATGAACGATAATTAAAATGGATAAATGAAATGGTTAAAGGGTTTCGCAGAAATTACTTCAATTCGACAATCATGACACAAACATCTTTGTGAATCGAATCCAATGAAATGAAATTTGCGTTTAATTAAATTTAAATCCAATTTATAAAATTAATTGGAGTATCAGCGTGGTCGCGTGTGACGGGGTTAACATACGAAACGAAGATGCCGTCTTCCATTTTTAACGTATTTTTAATTTACAAAACC